TCTCGTTCCCATATTTATGTCCATGTGTGCTCAATATTTAGCTCCCACTTGTAAGTGAGAATGTGTGGTATTTAGTTTACTGTTCCTGCATCACTGTGCTTAAGATTATGGCCTCCAGCTCCATTCATGTTGCTGCAAAGAACACGATTTCATTTTTATGGTTACATAGTATTCCATGGTGAATATGCTCCATGTTTTCTATGTCCAGTCTACCAGTGTGATGGTTCATATTGAGCGTCAACTTAATTGGATTGAGGGATTCATAGTGTTATTTCTGGATGTGTCTGTGAGGGTGTTGCCAAAGGAGATTAACATTTGAGTCAGTGAATTGGGAGAGATAGGTTCACCCTCAATCTGGGTGGGCACAGTCTAACCAGCTGCTAGTGCTGGTAGAATAAAGCAAGCAGAAAAATGTAGAAGGACCAGACTGTCTTGAGTCTTCTGGCCTTCATCTTTCACCTGTGCTGGATGCCTCCTGCCCTGAAACATTGGACTTCAAGCTTTTGTACTGTTGGACTTACACCAGTTGTTTGTAAGGGGCTCTCAGTGCACACTGTTGGCTTCCCGACTTTTGAGGTTTTGGGACTCAAACTGGCTTCCTTGCTTCTCAGAGGGACTATTATGGGACTTCACCTTCTGATTGTGTGAGTCAGTCCTCCTTAATAAACTCCCTTTTAGATACACATCTATCCTATTAGTCCTGTCCCTCTAGGGAACCCTGACTAATACAACCAGTCCTGGGTACCTGGGTTGATTGTATATTTTGCTATTGTGAATACCACAGTGATGAACATAGAAGTGCATGTGTCTTTTTGGTAGAATGATTTATTTTCTTTTGGGTATATACCAGAAATGGGATTGCTGGGTGAAACTGTAGCTCTGTTTAAATTATTTGAGAAATCCTCAGACTGTTTTCCTCAGTGACCGGACTAATTTACATTCCCACCAATAGTGTTTAAACATTCCCCTTTTTCTTCAGGCTTGCCAGGATCTTTTTCTTTTTTACTTTTAATAATAGCCATCCTGACATTGTGAGATATGATCTTATTGTGGATTTTGTTGTTTGTTTTTTTGTTTAGAGGCAGAGTCTCCCAGGGTAGAATGCAGTGGTGTGATCTCGGCTCCCTGCAGCCTATGCCTCCATAGTTCAAGCGATTCTCCTGCCTTAGAATCCCAAGTAGCTAGGACTGCAGGCATGTGCCACCACACCCAGCTAATTTTTGTATTTTTGGTACAGACGGGGTTTCACCGTGTTGGCCAGGCTGGTCTCGAACCCCTCACCTCAAGTGATCCACCACATTAGGCTCCCACTGCTGGGATTGCAGGTGTGAGACACTGCATCTGGCCCTTATTGTGGTTTTAATTTGAATTTCCCTGATGATTAGTGATACTAAGAGCATTTTTTTCATTTTGTTGACCATTCCATATCTTTTGAAAAGCGCCTCTTAATGGGGTTGATTTTTGCTTGTTGATTTAAGTGCCCTATAGATTCAGCATATTAGGCCCCTGTCAAATGCATAGTTTGTCAATGATCTGTCTTCACCAGTGATATGGTTCTATACCTAGAAAATGCCTTCTTTAAGAAAATAAAATGCTATTTTGTGACGATGTCAAGTTTTCCTTATATGTCTGCTTTGGGCATTTGGGGTGCTTCTGCCTCTTGGGCGTTAAGAATAATGCTACAGTGAATATGGATATGCAGATGTATCTTTGAGATCCTGCTTTGAATCACTTTGGATGTATACCCAAAAGGGAGATTTCTGGATCATATGGTAATTCTATTTTAAATTTTTCAGGAACCTCCATACATTTTTCCACAGTGGCTGTACCATTTTATGTTCCCGTCAACAGCATGCAAAGGTTCCAGTTTCTCCATAAAATCACCAACACTGTTTTTTATTTCACTCTCGTTATCCAGGCTGGAGTACAATGACACTGTCTTGGTTCACTGCAACCTCTGTCTCCTGGGTTCAAGCAGTTCTTCTGCCTCAGCCTCCCCGAGTAGCTGCCACCATGCCCAGCTAATTTTTGTACTTTTAGTAGAGACAAGGTTTCACCATATTGGCCAGGCTGGCCTTGAACTCCTGAACTCAGGTGATCCACCTGCCTCAGCCTCCCAAAATGCTGGGATTACAGGCCTGAGCCACCACACCCTGCCCGTTGTTTTTCATTTGTATCTTCTAATGGATGTGAGCTGATATGTTATTCTGGATTTGAATTGCATTTGTTTAGTAATTAGTGATACTGAGCATGTTTTCATCTAGCTGTTGGCTTTATCTTCTTTGGAAAAAAGCCTGTTCAATTACTTTGTCCCTTTTTAAAAATCAGGGTTTTTTATTGTTGAGTTGTCTGAGTTATTTCTATCTTCCTTCCTCCCTCCCTGCCCTGCCCTCCCCTCCCCACCCCTGCCCTGCCCTCCCCTGCCCTGCCCTCCCCACCCCTGCCCTGCCCTCCCCTGCCCTGCCCTCCCCTCCCCACCCCTGCCCTGCCCTCCCCTGCCTCCTCCCACCTGCCTGCCTCCCCCCACCCCTGCCCGCCTCCCCTGCCCTCCCCTCCCCTGCCCTCCCCTCCCCTCCCCACCCCTGCCTCCTCCCTGCCCCTACCCTCCTTGTCCCGCCCTCTCCCCTTTCCCCTGCCTCCCCCTCCCCTGCTCTCCCCTCCTTGTCCCACCCTCCTCTCCTCTCTCCTTCCCTCTCCCTCCCCCTCCTCTCCCCTGCCCTCTCCCCTCCTCCCTCTCCCCTCCCTCCTCCCCTTCCCTCTCCCTCCCTCTCTCCCTCTCCTTCCCTCTCTCCCTCTCCTTCCCCCTCTCCCTCTCCTTCCCTCTCTCCCCTCCCCTCCCTCTCCCTTCCCTCCTCCCTCTCCCCTCTCCCTCCTCTCCTCCTCCTCCTCTCCCCTCCCCTCTCCTCCCTCTCTCCTCCCTCTCTCCCTCCCTCTCCCTCCTCCCCCTCCCCCTCCCTCTCCTTCCCTCTCCTCCTCCTCCCCTCTCCCCTCCCTCTCCCCTCCTCCCTCCCTCTCCCCTCCCCATCCCTCTGCTCTCCCCTCCCTCTCCCTCCCCCTCCCCCTCCCTCCCCCTCCCTCTCCCCCTCCCTCTCCCCCTCCCTCTCCCCTCCTCCTCCCTCTCCCTCCTCCTCCCTCTTCCTTCTCCTCCCTCTCCCCCTCCCCTTCCCTCTCCCCTCCTCTCCCCTTCCCTCTCCCTCCCTCCCTCTCCCCTTCCCTCTCCCTCCCCTCCCTCCCCTCCTCTCCCTTCCCTCTCCCTCCCCCTCCCTCTCCCTTCCCTCTCCCTCTCCCCCCTCTCCTTCCCTCTCCTCCCTCCCTCTCCTCTCTCCTCCCCTCCCTCTCTCCCCCTCCCTCTCCTTCCCTCTCCCCTCCTCCTCTCCTTCCCTCTCCTCCCCCTCCCTCTCCCCCTCCTCTCCCCCTCCTCTCCCCCTCCCTCTCCTCCTCCCCCTCCCTCTCCTCTCCCTTCCTCTCCCTCCCTTCTCTCCCCTCCCTTCCCTCTCCCCCTCCCTCTCCCCCTCCCTCTCTCCTCTCTCTCTCCCCTTCCCTCCCTCTCCCCCTCCTTTCCTCCCTTTGTCCCCCTTCCCCTCCCTCCCCCTCCCTCCCTCCCTCCCTCCCTCCCTTCCTTCCTTCCTTCCTTCCTTCCTTCCTTCCTTCCTTCCTTCCTCCTTCCTTCCTTCCTTCCTTCCTTCCTTCCTTTGTTTCTTTTTTGAAACAAATCTTGCTGTGTTGGTCAGCATGGAAAGCATTGCCAAAATCATGGCTCACTGCAGCCTCAACTTCCCAGGTGCTAGAGAGCCTCCCACCTCATGCTCTTGGGACCACAGGCACATGCCAACACATCTAGCTAATTTTTTTTTTCATTTTTTTTGTTTTTTGTAGAGATGGGGGGTGGTCTCACTGTGTTGCACAGGCTGATTTCAAACTCATAGGCTCAAGGAGTCTTCAAACCATGACCCCTGAAAGTGTTGACATTTTAGGCATGAGTTACCATGCCCATCCTGCATATGAAAGCCTTTTGAGATATATGATATGCAAATATTTCTCTCATTTTGTGCATTTCCCCTTTCATTCTGTTGATTGTTTCCTTTCATGTACAAACGTTTTAGGTTTGATGTAGTCTTTCTTACGTATTTTTGCTTTTGTTGGTTATACTTTTAGTGTCATATTCAAAAAATGATTGACAAAAAAAAGAAGGGTTTCCATGTATTTTCTTCTAGTTTTACAATGTCAAGATGTAACTTTAAATACTTGATTTATTTTGAGTTGATTTTTGTGTATGTTGTGAGGTAAGGATACAGTTTGCCCCTGGGCTTGATGCCGAGTTTCAGACTGACGTGCTGGCTGTTGTGATGGCGCTCTCCAGTGCTGGTTGTGGTTGGTTTTCGACTAGGTATACCTCACCTGGGAGAGTGGCCAGAGACAATGTCAGTTCCAGACATCAGCAGCCCCAGGAGGAGGAGCGTGTGCTCGCGCCAGGAGTGGTGGCTGTTAGGCGAGAGACCTCAGACCTATGTCTGCATGGCCTGACGTCAGAGATCACATCCTACTGATTGAAGACCTTGTTCTTGAGCTGTCCGGTTGCCGCAGGGTCAGGCCTGGAGGCTGCAGCCTATAATGGCCCTTTGCAGTGTTCAGAAACATATGTGCACCCCAGGGAGGGACACACACACACACACACACACACACACACACACACACACAGTGAAACTCACAACACACAGACACAAAATGACACACACACACACACAGTCACACACACACACATGAGCCCACAGAAAAAGGCAAATAGACACAGAAACAGGCATGTACAGTAGTTCTGGCCACACATACTCCCTAGGTGTCCACAGAATGACATGGGTAAGGTATATTCATAATGTTGGAGGCCAAGGACAAGCAGGTGCGCTAGCTGACCCGCGGGAGAGGATGACATGGAAGTGGTGAGCAGTGTACCTGGGCCTGTTTCTCAAGTGTGTATTTGATTTCTTTACAATTCCCTGGAAAAGTTGCTGTGGGAGACCCGCCGCCTGCTGGCAAAGAAGATGGTCGATTCTTCTGAGCAATGGAGGCCCTGCAGAGTCCTGCAGTCACTGTGGCCTGGTGTCCATGGCGCACCCAATGCTGGTGGATGGCTCAATATGGTAAGCATTCCTCTGCCCCACATGCTGAATGAGGGTGGCTTTTGGATGTCCTAGACCTTCAAGGAGCTGTTTCTCGACAGCAAATGGCATGACGAGTTCCACTCCTAGAGTGGATGGTCTGTGCCCATTGCTCAGAGGTGTGGCTCAGGCTTCCCCAGCATGCTGAATGTCTTTAAGGTCATCGACTCGCTCCTTCCCAGCCTGTGGTGTCAAACGTCCTGCCCCTTTGAATGTGCTTGGATCGATGATGAGTCCCCTATAAAAACATTCCTTGGAAAAGCTGAACAAAATGAGTGAGAACTCATACCGTCGTTCTCATCGGATCTGAGGTCCAGCACGTTGCCTCCCCTGGGAACTGTAAGAGCGAGGGACAGCTTCCACTGCTTCCCATAGGTTCCACCACCCAGGGCATCCGCAGACAAAAGTCTCATGTCACAGGCACATTAGGAACATTCTCTCTGTGTGAGGTACATGGGTGGGAGAGTCATGGGGCATTCGGCCGCTCTGTGATGGCGTGGTGGCCGTGGAAGCAGGCAGAAATGTTGCCAGCATAGGGGAGTGTGCTGCTGGTAAGCTCCCAGAAGGAAGACCCAGACTTCACAGTGGTCATCACAGTGCAGAAGACCGGGTGTCTGTTTTCATGTGGAAGAGAGCCCAAGGCCCAGACCTCAGGCAGACCTTGGTCTTGATTTTTGATTAGTGGAGAACAGGGGAGTGCCAAGGCGATAGAGGAGAGTGCAGAGCAGTGTCTTGGCCGACGGTGAAAGCCTCTTCAGCCCACCCTGCAGCATCAGTCACAGGAGCCCCCCTGGAAGGGATTTCTTTGCCTCCTGAGCTGTGAGATGCCTGTGGTGCAATGACGGAGTCTTGAGCAGGAAGGTACTCCAGAGAAAAGGTGATAGAGGGCTCACATGGACATGGGTGTCATTAGCAGACTTGGGCTGTCTTTCAGCGGTGATGGACTTTCCATGGATTTTTCTGGTGGATGACAGGTTGGCCAGCAGAGGTCTTTGAGGCCAGGTCCTAGGGAGCACGAGGATCAAGTTGATGCCTGTGGCCCTGGATCACTTCCAGCCTTCCCGGAAGAGTAATAGGCTCCTCCGTTGTACAAATCTTCCTATAAATGGTCTCTTGGCCCGCCATCGTTGGGCAGCTCCACCTGCTGCAGCTCATGTGAGCAAATACTGCTCTGGATCCTCTTTCCTGCTTGTAAAGCAGCTTCTGTCCTGAAGGTCCAGAGTGAATGTGCCCTGCCCTGGCTCTGGCCCAAGTCTCTGCCATGGGCACCAGTCACACTTGGGGCTATCCAAGGAGGTCTATGCATTCCATGCGACAGGTGTGCAATCCCAGAGGTGCTGCCACAGAGTCCTTTGACTTGGGATGCCTTGCACCTCTGCATGTTGGCAATATTTAAGTGTTGGACCCCACTACACCCTAGGGGTGATGAACTGTTTTGGCTCCCTTAACTGATTTGAAGTCTCAGCGCAGCCAGGACAGCCATGCCATGTTGAAGGGCATGCGAATGGCTTAGGAATGTTGGAAAGGATGGGTGGTTCTGAGCTCGCAGCTCACTCACTAGCTGCCTGCATGTAGACCCAGTGGTGGTGCTCAGGCAGTGTTGACTTTCAGGCGTTGCAGCGGGTACTAGTGCAGTCAAGTTGGTGGCATATGCGATGTTGCCTCAGAGGTCAGTACGGGGTAGCCTTGTGGGTGTGTCCAATGCAAGGAAAATGAACGACAGTGGGTCCTGTCTGCCTGGTCCTTGGGACATCGGTTGGGGGATGTCCTGTTGGAAAAGCAGCCATTCCCTTTGTATGACCAGAGGGCATGGTGCAGGCACATGGACTGAGTGGAGGGAGGAAGCCCGTGTATTGAGGTCCTTTGGTTAGGTTGGGAAGACCACCTCTGGCCTTGACGCCGAGTTTCAGACCGATGTGCTGGCCATTGCAAAGTCGCCCTCCAGTGCAGGTTGTGATTGGTTTTCCACCATGTATGCCTCACCTGAGAGGGCTGCTAGAGACAGTGTCTGCTCAGGACATCAGATGTCCCGTGAGGAGGAGCATGTATTCACACCAGGGGAGGTGGCTGGTAGGCGAGCCACCTCAGGCCTGTGTCCGCGTGGCTTCCATGTCAAAATTTACATCCTACTGATTGAAGTCCTTCAGCTGTCGGGTTGGTGGATTGTCAGGCCAGGAGGCTGCAGACTATGACTGCCTATTGCTGTGTTGGGAAACACATATGTCAGGAACACATGTGAGGGAGACACACACACATACATTCATATGCACACATACATTCATATACACACACACACACGCACACAGGCATGCCGAACCACAGGCAAATACACGTAGCAATGGGCGTGTGTGACCACACATGCTTTTAGGTATCCACAGAGTAACATGTGTAAAGTATCGTGGAAACGAGGGGAATAACAGGTGTGCGCGCTGCCCCGCAGGAAAGAGTGGGATTGAAGTGTTGACCAGTGGACCTGGGCCCATTTCTCAAGCTTGTTATTTGATTTCTTTACACTTCTCAGAGGCAATTGCTGTGGGAGGTGTTGTGTAACTGCTGGAAGGAAGACACCCCATTGTTCTGAGCAACGAAGGCCACATGGAGTCCTGGATTTTGTGTGGCCTGGCATCCACGGTGCACCGCGAGCTGGCAGGTGACTCAAGACGGTAAGCATTTCTCTGCCCTGCGTGCTGAGTGAGGGTGTCTTTCGGATTTCCAAGACCCACAAGGAGCAGATTCTTGGCTAACCACTAATGGCATGGCAACTTCCTCTCCTAGAGTGGATGATCTGCACTCATTGCTCAGTGGCACGGCTCTATGGGGGCCGAAGGTCTTTAACGTCATTGGCTCACCCACTGCCCGGCCTGTGGTGTCAAACGTCCTGCCTCTTCAAATGTGCTTGGATCGATGATGAGTCCCCCAAAAAAACATTCCTTGGAAAAGCTGAACAAAATGAGTGAGAACTCATACCGTCGTTCTCATCGGATCTGAGGTCCAGCACGTTGGCTTCCCCAGGGACTGTAGGAGTGAGGGACAGCTTCCACTGATTCCCATAGGTTCCACCACCCAGGGCATCCACAGGCCAAAGGCTTCCATCACACAGAGGTTAGGAACATTCCCTTTGTGTGAGGTACACAGGTGGGTGAGTCCTGGGGGGAGCGACTGTTCTGTGATGGTGCGGTAGCCGTGGAAGGGATGGAAATATTGCAGGCCTAGGGTAGTGTGTGCCTGATGTTGGCTTGGTGAGCTCTTCGGAAGGGAGACCCAGTCCTCATGGTGGGCATCTCTGAGCAGAGGACTGAGTCCTTGTTTTCTTGCCGGGGAGAGCACAAGGCCCACGTCTCAGGCAGATGTTGGTCCTGATTTTTGGTTTGCTGAGGACAAGGGAGTGTGAAGGATGATGGGGGACAGTGTATTAACAAAGGTTGTTGTGACAGATAGCCAAAGCTGCTTTGGCCCTTTACCCAGCATCCGGTCATGGAGGCCCCCCAGCAGGGATTTCTTCATCCCCTGAACCGTGAGATGCCCCTGGTGCCATGGTGGAAGCCTGGACTGGAAGGTACCCCACAGAGGAGGCGGTAGGGGGCTCATGTGGACATGTGTGTCGTCAGCATTGTTGGGCTGTTGTTCAGCAGTGATGGGCTTCCCATTGACTTCTCTAGTGGATGACAAGTGGCCAGCAGTGATCTTAGAGGGCAGGTCCTAGGGAATATGAGGGTCAGGCTCATGCCCCTGGCCCTCAGTCACTTCTCGTCTTCCTGATATTGTAGTGGGCTCCACCATTGTGCACATCTTCCTGGAAATGGTCTCTTGGCTTGCCATTGCCGGGCAGCCCCACCTGCTGCAACTTGTATGAGCAAGTGTGGCTCTGGATTGTCTTTCCCACTTTGAAAGCAACTTCCATCCTGAAGGAGTCCAGAGGGTATGTGCCCTGGCCCTGGCCTGGAATTCTTCTGTGGGCATCGGTCACACATGGGGTTATCCATGGAGATCCGGGTACATTCCAGGCAACATGTATGCCATTCCAGGGGCCTGCCATAGAGAGTTCCTTGACTTGGGATGCCCCTGCACCTCCCGTGTTGGTAATGTTCCAGTGTTACATTCTGCTACACCCTAAGGGTGATGAAGCCTTTCAGCTCCCTTAAACGGTTTGATGTCACAGTGCAGCCAGGACACCCATATCATATTGAGGGGCCCATGACTGCATTAGAAATGTTGGAAGGGATTAGTGGTTCTGCAGATTGCACCTTATGAGTAGCCATGTACATGTAGATCTGGTGATGGTGCTGAGGTAGTGTAGAGTTGCAGGAGTTGGGGTGGGTAGTAGTGCAGTCAAGTTGGCTGCATGATGGGATGTTGCCTCAGGAGTTTAAGCCCTGTGGATGTAACCAATGAAAGGACAATGGAAGGCAGTGTGTCGTGTCAGCCTGGTCCTTGGGCGGGGACGTCCTGTTGGAGAGCAGCCATTCCCTTCGGGTATCGTGAAGGCGCAGTGCAGGCATGTGGGCTGAGTGGAAGGGAGGAAGCCCGCATCTTGAGATCCTTTGGCTAGGTTGGGAAGATTGGCTCTGGCCTGATGCCATTTTCAGTCTGATGGGTTCGTCATTGAGAAGGCACCCTCAAGTGCTGGTTGTGGTTGGTTTTTCGTCACATGAGCCTCACCTGGGAGTGTGACCAGAGACAGTGTCAGGTGACAACATCAGGTGCCCCATGAGGAGGAGAGTGTGCTCACTCCAGGGGTGGTGGCTGGTAGGTGAGGGACCTCAGGCCTATGTCCTCAAGGCCCCGAAGTCAAAGTTCACATCCTACTGATTGAAGACCTTGGTTTTGAGCCTTTGGGTTGCAGGGGCTTCAGGTCTGGAGGCTGTAGACTATGACTTCCTGTTGTGGTGTGGGAAACACATGTGCATGAGGGAAACACATACGTTCACACTATCACACACACAGTCATATACAGCCACAGGCATATAGACGCAGCAACAGGTACATGTGGTCGTTCTGGCCACACATGTTTCCTAAGTGTCTAGACAGTGACACTGTCAGGTATGTTTATAAAGATGGAGGTCCATCATGGAGGCCAAGGAGAAGTGGGCATGTCAGTTGCTCTGTGGAAAAGGGTGGCGTTGAAGGGACCAGTGAACCCGGACCCATTTCTCAAGCGTGCATTTGATTTCTTTACACTTCTCAGGGGCAGTTATCATGGGGCGCCCGCCATATGCTGGCAACGAACATGGTCAGTTCTTCTGAGCCACAAAGGCCCCCAAAGTCCTGGAGCTGGTGTGGCTTAGCATCCACGGTGCGCCCCCTGCTGGTGGATGGCTCAGGACGGTAAGCATTCCTCTGCCCCATGTGCTGAGTGGGGGTGGGATTTCCGAGACCTGAAAGGAGCTGTTTCTCAGCAGGCCACTGATGGCATGGTGAGTTCCACTCCTAAAGTGAACGGTCTGTGCGTGTCGTTCAGTGGCGTGGCTCTGGCTTCCCCAGGGGTCCGAAGATTTTTAAGGTCATCAGCTTGCCCACTGCCCAGCCTGTGGTGTCAAACGTCCTGCCCCTTTGAATGTGCTTGGATCGATGATGAGTCCCCTATAAAAACATTCCTTGGAAAAGCTGAACAAAATGAGTGAGAACTCATACCGTCGTTCTCATCGGATCTGAGGTCCAGCACGTTGCTTCCCCTGGGGACTGTAGGAGTTAGCGACAACTTCCACTGGTTCCCATAGGTTTTACCACCCAGGGTGTCCACGGATGAAAGTCTCACATCACAGGCACAATAGGAACATTCCGTCTGTGTGAGGAACACGAGTAGAAGAGTCATGGGGGAATCAGCTGCTCTGTGATGTCATGGTGGCTGTAGAAGTGGGTAGAATTGCAGACCTAGGATCATGTGCAACTGATCTTGGCTTGGTGAGCTCCCAGGAAGGGAGACCCTGACCTCCCGATGGGCATGTCTACGCAGAGGACTGGGTCTTTGTTTTTATGCCAAGGAGAGCAAAAGGCCCAGACCTCAGACAGACCTTGGTCTCGATTTTCAGTTATCTGAGGAGAGGGGAGTGCCAAAGTGATGGGGGACAATGGAGAGCAATGGGTGTTGTGGCAGACAGCCAAAGCCTCTTTGGCCCTCCCCTAGTGCTGGTTACAGGGACCCCCAGGCAGGGATTTCTTTGCCTCCTGAGCCATGAGTTGCCCATGGTGTGGTGGCTGAGCCTGGGCAGGACAGTACCTCAGAGCAAAGGTGGTAGAGGGCTCACATGGACATGTGTGTCATCAGTGTTCTTGGGCTGCCATTTGGCAGTGATGGGCTTTCCATGGATTTCTCTTGTGGATAACAGGTCAACCCGTGGTGTTTTCAAGGGCAGATCCAAGGAGCATGAGTGTCGAGCTGTATGCTGTGGCCCTGGGTTACTTCCGGTCTTCTTGGGAGAGTAGAGGGCTCCACCATTGTGCGCATCTTCCCGGAAATGGTCTCTTGGCCCACCATTGCCGAGCAGCCCTACACACTACAGCTCGTGTGAGCAAATAACTGCTGTGGATCTTACTTCCCGCTTTGAAAGCAACTTCCATCCCGAAGACTTTCAGAGGGAACGTGCCCTGGCCCTGGCCCTTGCTCGGAACTCTCCTGTGGGATTCCGTCACACTTGGAGCTGTCCATGGAGGGCCGTGTGCATTCCAAACAATGCGTATTTAATCCCAGGTGCCTTCCATGGAGAGTCCCTTGACTTGAGATGCCTTCACTCCTCTGCATGTTGGTGATATTCAAGTGTTGAATTTAGCTATGCCCTAGGTGTGATGAAGTGTTTCAACCCCATTAGTCTCAGCGCAGCCAGAACAGTCATGCCATGTTGAAGGGCATGCCAATGGCTTAGGAAAGTTGGGAAGGATTGGTCATTCTGTGGCTCGCAGCTCACTTAGTAGCCACGTGCATATAGACTTGGTGGTGGTTGTCAGATGGTGTTGACTAGCAGGTGTTGGGGAGGATGGTGCTGCCTCTAGGTGGCTGCATGGTGGGATGTTGCCTTGGAGGTCAGTGCAAGGAAGGCCTTTGAGTGTGATTGATGCAAGGATGATGGAAGGCCATGTGTCCTGTCTGCCTGGTCCTTGGTGCGTTAGGCAGGGACATCCTGTGGGAAAAACAGCCATTCCCTTCAGGTGTCCTGAGGGGCATGATGCAGGTACATTGACTGAGTGAAGGAGAGGAAGCCCATGTCTTGAGGTCGTTTGCCTAGATTGGGCAGACTGCCTCTGGCCTTGATGCCGAGTTTCAGAGTCACATCCTGGCTGTTGCAAAGGCATGCTCCAGTGCTGGTTGTGATTGGTTTTGTGCCAGGTGCACCTTTCCTGGGAGTGCTGCCATAGATGGTGTCTGGTCAGGACATCCGGATACCCTGTGAGGAGGAGCTTGTGCTCAGGCTAGGGATGGTGGCTGTTATGTGAGGGACCTTGGGCCTATGTCTGCATGGCCCAAGGTCAGAGTTTACATCCTGTTGATTGAAGGTCTTGGTCTTGAATTGTCCGGTTGATGGGGGCTCAGGCCTGAAGGCCACAGACTGACTGCATGTTGCCATGTTGGTAAACTCATGTGTTGGAAAACACATGTGCATGAGGGAGACACACACACACACACACATGCACGCACATGGCCACTGAGCAATGGGTGTGTGCGGTCATTCTGGCGCCGCACGCAGCTCCGAAGTGTTTGCAGAGTGCCACTAGTAAGGTACAATCATGGAAACAGAGGTCACTCATGGAGGCCAACAGAAGGAAGACGTGCAAGTTGCCACGCATGAACGAATGGCACTGAAATTTTGCCCAGTGGAACTGGGCCTGTTTCTCAAGTGTGTATTTGATTTGTTTACACTTCTCAGGGGCAGTTGCCATGGGAGGCCCACCGCCTTCTGGAAGGAAGATGGTCAATTCTTTTGAGCCACAAAGGCCCTGCAGAGTCCTGGAGTCAGTGTGGCCTGGCTTCCTGGGTGCACCTTGTGCTGGTGGATCGCTCAGGACGGTAAGCATTTCTCTGTCCCATGTGCTGAGTGAGGGTATCTTTTGGATTTCCAAGACCCACCGTGAGCTGTTTCTCACAAGGCCACTAACGGCATGGTGTCAAACATCCTGCCTCTTCAAATGTGCTTGGATCGATGATGAGTCCCCCATAAAAACATTCCTTGGAAAAGCTGAACAAAATGAGTGAGAACTCATACCGTCGTTCTCATCGGAACTGAGGTCCAGCACTTGCCTCTAGCATAGACTATTGGAGTGAGGGACAGCTTCCACTAGTCCCTGTAGGTTCCACCACCCAGGCCGTCTGCAAGTAGATGTCTCCCATTACACACACATTAGGAACATTCCCTTTGTGTGAGGTACACGATTAGAAGAGTTGTGGAGGGACTGGCTGCTGTGTGATGGCGTGGCGGCTTTGGAAGCGGACAGAAAAATCGCAGGCCTAGTGGAGTGTGTGGCAGACCTGGGCCTGGTGAGCTGCCAGGAGGGGAGACCTGGACCTTGTGTCAGCCATCCTCACACACAGTAGAGGGTCCTGGTCCCCCTACTATGGAGAGTATGAGGCCCTAGCCTTAGGCAGACCTTGATCTTGCTTTTCAGTTAGCTGAGGACAGGGGAGTGCCAAGGGTGATGGGGGAGAGTGCAGAGCAATGGGTGTTGCAGCAGATGGCCAAAGCCTCTTTGACCCTCCCCCCAGCATTGGTCTCAGGGTCACCCCAGCATGGATTTCTTTGCCTCCTGAACTGTGAGATGCTGGTGGTGTTGCAGAGACCTGGGTAGGACGTATTCTCTGGTATTCCAGAGAAAAGGTGGTAGGGGGCTCACGTGGACAGGTGTGTGTCATCAGTGGTCTTGGGCTGTCTGTGTGCTGGACTTTCTGTGTATTTCTCTGATGGATGACAGATTGGGCAGCAGGGGTCTTCAAGGAAAGTTCCCAGGTGTGTGAGGTTTGGGCTGCTGCCTGTGGCCCTGGGTCACTCCGATCTTCCTGGCAGAGTTATGGGCTCCACCGTTGTGTACATCTTCCTGGAAATGGTCTCTTGGCCTGCCATTGCCAGGCGCCCCACTTGCTGCAGCTTGTGTGAGCAAATGCTGCTCTTGATCCTTTTTTTCCACTTTGAAAGCAGCATCCGTCCCAAAGGCGTCCAGAGGGAATGTGCCCTGGCCCAGGCCGAGTACCGTCCTGTGGTCTCCAGTCACGTGTGGGCCTGTCCATGGAGGTCCATGTCCATTCCGGGCAATGCGTGTGCAATCCCGGCGTGTTGCCACAGAAAGTCTCTTGACTTGGGATGCCTCCATGCCTCTGCATGTTGACGATGTTCCAGTGTTGGATTCCGCTATGCCCTATGCATGATGAAGCATTTTAGCTCCCTTAACCAGTTTGAATTCACAGTGCAGCCATGACAGCCATGCTACTTTCAAGGGCACATGGTTGGCTTAGGAAAGTTGGAATGGATTGGTGCTTCTACAGCTCACAGCTCACTTAGTAGCCACATGCGTGTGGACTGGGTGGTGTTGATACAGTGTTGACTTGCCAGTGTTGGGGTGGGTAGTAGTGCGGTCAGATTGGCTGCATGATGAGTCATTGTTTCTGAGGTCAGTGCAGGGATGCCCTGTGGGCGTGTCCAATGCAAGAATGATGACAGGCGGTGTGTCCTGTCAACCTGGTCCTTGCAGTTCAGGTAGGGGCGTCCTGTTGGAAAAACAGCCATTTTCTTTGGGTGTCCTGAGGGCACAGTGTGGGCACATGGACTGAGTGGAGGGGAGGAGGCGTGTATCTTGAGGGCCTGTGGCTGCGTTGCTAGTCTTGCCTCTGGCCTTAATGCTGAGTTTCAGACCAATGTGCTGGACTTTGCAAAGGTCCCCTCTGGAGCTGGTTGTGGTTGGTTTTGCACCAGGTTGCACCTCACCTAAGAGAGTGGTCAGAGACAGTGTCTTGTGATGACATCAGCATTCCCCTGAGGAAGAGGAGTAGCCTGTGCTCCTGCCAGAGGTGGTGGCTGCTAGGTGAGAGACCTGTGACCTGTTTCCACATGGCCCCAAGGTCAAAGTTCACATCCCACTGATTGAAGGCGTGCGTCTTGAGCCATCAGGTTGCTGGGTGGATCAGGTCTGGAGGCTGCAAACTATAACTGCCCATTGTGGTGTTGGCACCCACCCACAGGTGCATTAGGGAGACAAACACACACCCATTTCAACTAACATTCTCACACATACTCTCTCATACACTCACACTCATACTCACACTCTATCCCACACACACACACAGGCACAGTCATAGGCTAATAGATGCAGCAGTGTGCACGTGCAGTGGTTCTAGCCACACATGCTTTTAGGTGTCCACAGAATGACGTGGGTAAGGTATATTCATGGAGATGGAGGTCAGCCGTGGAGGCCAAGGAGAAGCAGGTGTGTGAGTTGCTCTGTGGGAAAGAATGGCATTGAAGTGTCCAGTGAACCTGGGCCTGTTCCTCAAGCATGCATTTGATTTGTTTACACTTCTCAGGGACAGTTGCCGTGAGAGGTCGCTGCCTGCTGTCAGGGAAGATGGTCGATGCTTCTGAGCAACATAGGCCCACGTGGATTCCGTGTGGCCTGGCATCCACTGTGCACCCCGTGCTGGCGGGTGGCTCAAGACGGTAAGCATTTTTCTGCCCCGTGTGATGATGAGAGATGGTGGCTTTAGAATTTCCGAGACCTGCAAGGAACAGTTTCTCAGCAGGCCATTGATAGCATGGTGAGTTCCACTCCCAGAGTGGATGGTCTGTGCCGGTTGGTCAGTGGTGCAGCTCTGGCTTCCCCAGGGTGCCGAAGTTCTTTAATGTCATCAGCTCGCCCACTGCCCAGCCTGTGGTGTCAAACATCCTGCCTCTTCAAACGTGCTTGGATCGATGATGAGTCCCCCAAAAAAACATTCCTTGGAAAAGCTGAACAAAATGAGTGAGAACTCATACCGTCGTTCTCATCGGATCTGAGGTCCAGCACGTTGCCTCCCCCGGGGACTGTAGGAGCGAGGGACAACTTCCACTGGTTCCCATAGGTTCCACCACCCAGGGTGTCCACGGATGAAAGTCTCATGTCACAGGCACAATAGGAACATTCCCTGTGTGTGAGGTACATGAGTGGGAGATTCATGGGGGCACTGGCTGCTCTGTGATGGCGCAGCAGCCATGGAAGAGGGGAGAAATGTCGCGATCCTAGGGGAGTGTGTGGCTGACCTCAGCCTGGTGAGCTTTCAGGAAGGGAGGCCTGGACCTTATGGCTGGAGTCTCTGTGCAGAGGGCAAGGTCTCAGTTTTGCTACCAAGGAGAGCACAAGGCCTGGGCCTCGGGCAGACCTTGTTCTTGATTTCTGGTTAGCTGAGGACAGGGGAGTGCCAAGGGCAGTGACGGAGAGTGCATAGCAATGGGTGCCACGGGAGACAGCCAATGGCTCTTCAGCTCTTCCACCAGTGTTGGTCACAGTGTCCCCTCAGCACAGATTTCTTTGCTTCCTGAGCCATGAGACATGTGTGCTTTGGTGGTGAAGATGTAGACAGGATGGTATCCAAGAGAAAACGTGCTAGAGAGGGCTCTCATGGATGTGAGTGTCATCAGCTTCATTGGGTTTTAATTTGGCAGTGATGGGCTTTCCATGGATTTCTCTGGTGGATGACAGGTCAGCCAGGGCAGGTCTTTGAGGGCATGTCTCTGGGCAAATGAGTGTCAGGATGGTGTCTGTGGCCCTCGGTCACTTCTGGTCTTCCCAGCCAAGTAGTGGGCTCCACCGTTGTGCACATCTTCCTGGAAATGGTCTGTTGGCCTGCATTGTCGGGCGGCCCCACCTGCTGCTGCTCTTGTGAGCAAATACTGCTCTGTATCATTCCCGCTTTCCATCCCAAAGATGTCCAGAGTGAATGTGCCCTGGCCCTGGCCCTGGACTCTCATGTGGGCCCCAGTCATGCATGGGGCTATCCATGGTCTGTGTGCATACCGAGCAGTGCATTTGCAATCCCAGGCGCGTTGCCACAGCGAGTCTCTTGACTTGGCATGTCTCCATACCTCTGTGTGCTGGTGATGTTCTAGTGTTGGACTCCGCTACTCCCTAGGCGTGATGAAGCATTTTAGCTCCCGTAGCTGGTTTGAAGTCACAGAGCAGGCAGGACAGCCATGCCACTTTCAAGGGCACACAGTTGGCACAGAAAAATTGGAAAGGATTGGTCATTGTACATCTTGCAGCTCACTTAGTAGCTGCATGCACGTAGACCTGATGCTGTTGATGCAGTGTTGACTTGCTGGCGTTGGGGTGGGTGGTACTGTGGTCACACTGGCTGCATGATGCGATGTTGTCTCAGAGGTCAGTGCAGGGAAACTCTGTGGGTGTGTCCAATGCAACGACAATGTTACAGGCGGTGTGTCCTGTCTGCCTGGTCCTTGGGGAGTCAGGTGGAGACGTCCTTTTGGAAATGCAGCCATTCTCTTTGGGTGTCCAGAGGGCATGGTGTGGGCACATGGGTTGAGTGGAGGAAAGGAAGTGTGTGTCTTGAGGTCCTTTGGCTAGGTTGGGAAGACTACCTCTGGCCTTGATGCTGTGTTTCAGAGCCATGTGCTGGCCATTGCAAAGGCGCCCTCCAGTGCTGGTTGTAGTTGGTTTTCCATCAGGTGCACCTCACCTGGTAAAGGGGCCAGAGACAGTGTCTGGTCATGACATAAGATGCTTTGTGAGGAGGAGCATGTGTTCATGCCTGGGGTAGTGGCTGTTAGGCAAGGGACCTTGGACCTCTTTCCTGATGGCCTTGAGGTCAAAGTTCACATCCTGTTGATTGAAGGCCTGGGTCTTGAGCCTTTGGTTTTGTGGGGTTGGTTCCGGTCTGGAGGCTGCAGACTGTGACTGCCTGCTGGGGTGGTGGGAAACACATGTGCATGAGGGGGACACATCCACACAGAGACACTCACACTCATGCACACTCATGTGTGCACAGCCACAAATAGATGCGGTAATGGGTGTGTGCAGTTGTTAGGCCACAGACACTTGTAGGTGTCCATGGAGTGACATAGGTAAGGTATGAATGGGTCTTTGAGGGCATGTCTCTGGGCGAGTGAGTGTCAGGATGGTGTCCATGGCCCTGGGTCACTTCTGGTCTTCCCAGCAGAGTAGTGGTATGAATATGGAGATGGAGGTCAGTCCTAGAGTCCAAGGAGAAGCAGAGATATGAGTTGCCCCATGGGAAAGAATGACATTGACATGGTGACCAGTGGCCGTGGGCCTGTTTCTCAAACATGCATTTGATTTCTTTACACTTCTCAGGAGCAATTGCCTTTAGATGCCCACTTCCTGCCGGCACAGCAGATGGTCAATTCTTCTGAGCAATGGAGTCCCCACTGAGTCATGGAGTCGGTGTGGCCTGGCATCCACGGTGCACCCTGTGCTGGTGGATGGCTCAGGACGGTAAGCATTCCTCTGTCCCGTGTGCTGAGTGAGGGTGTCTTTAGGATTTCTGAGACCCACAGGGAGCAGTTCTTCAGGCCATTAAAGGCATGGCCGAGGCCTTTAAGGTTATCGGCTCACGCACTGCCCAGCCTGTGGTGTCAAATGTCCTACCTCTTCAAATGTGCTTGGATCGATGATGAGTCCTCCAAAAAAACATTCCTTGGAAAAGCTGAACAAAATGAGTGAGAACTCATACCGTCGTTCTCATCGGAACTGAGGTCCAGCACATTGCTTCCTCTAGGGCCTGTAGTAGTGAGGGACGACTTCTACTAGTCCCTACAGCTTCCACCACCCACGGCATTCACAGATGACAGTCTTCTGTCGTATGCACATTAGGAACATTCCCTCCGTGTGAGGTACACAGGTCAGAGAGTCATAGGGTGATTGGCTGCTCTGTGATGGAGTAGAGGCCGTGGAAGTGGACGGAAATGTCTCAGGCTTAGGGGAATGTGGGGCTGGCCTTGGCCTGGTGAGCTCCCAGGAAGGGAGACCCGGAAATCGCTGCAGGCTTCCTTGCGTAGAGGAACAGGTACATGTTCCAGTTCTCCTTTCAGGGAGATCATGAGGCCCAGAACTCAGGCAGTCCTTGATCTTGATCTTTGGTTAGCTGAGGACAGGGGTGTGCCAAGGGTAATAGGGGAGGGCGCACAGCAATGGATGTTGCGGCAGACACCAAGTCCTCTTTGTCCCTCCTTTCAGGATTGATTGCAGGGGCCCCCCAGCACAGATTTTTTCACCTCTCGAGCTGTGAGATTCTTGTGGTGTGGTGGCCAAGCCTGGGCAGGAGGCTGGTACCCCAGAGAAAAGGTGTAGCGGGCTCACATGGACACGCATGCCATCAGTGGTCTTGGGCTGTCATTCGGTGGTGATGGGCTGTCTTCGTGGATTTCTCTGGTGGATGACAGGTTGGCCAGTGGGAGTCTTCAAGGGCAGGTCCTAGGGAGCACGAGGGTCAGGCTGATGCCTGTGGTCCTGGGTCACTCCAGTCTTCCTGGCAGAGTAGCAGAAGTGCACATGTTCCTGGAAGTGGTGTCATAGCCCACCATTGCCAGGTGGCCCCACCTGCTGCAGGTCGTGTGAGCAAATACTGCTCTGGATCCCATTTCCCGCTTTGAAAGCAGCCTCTATCCTGAAGGCGTCCAGAGGGAATGTGCCCTGGCCCTGGCCTGGGACTTTCCAATGGGGTCCAGTCACAGGTGGTGTATTCGTGGAGTTCCATGTGCATTTCAGGCAATACGTGTGCTCTACCAGGGGCACTGCCTTGGAGAGTCTCTTGACTTGGGATGCCTCTTCACCTTTGTGTGTTGGTGATGTTCCAGTATTGGATTCTGCTACATCCTCAGCGCAGTGAAGCGTTTCAGCTCACTTAGCCTGTTTGACATCACAGTGCAGCCAGGACAGCTGTGCCACTTTGGCATGGCACATAGTTGGCTTAGGACAGTCGGAAAGGGTTGGTGGTTCTATTCTTGCAGCTCACTTCATAGCTGTGTGCATGTAAACCTGGTGATGGTGTTGAGGTGGTGTTGACTTGCCGACGCTGGGGTGGGTGGTAGTGCTTTTAAGGTGACTGCATTGTGGGATGTTGGCTCAGAGATTGGTGCAGGAAAGCCCTGTAGGTGTGTCCAGTGCAAGGAAAATGAAAGATGGTGTCCTGTCCACCTTGTCTTCAGGGGTTCAGGTGGGAATGTCCTGTTGGAAAAGTGACCATTCCCTTCGTGTGTCCTGAGGGCATGGTGTGGGCATGCAAATTGATTGGAGGGAGGAAGTGTGTGTTTTGAGGTCCTTTGGTTGGGTTCAGAAGACTGTCTCTGCCCTTGATGCCTTGTCTAAGATGAACGTGCTGGCCATTGCAAAGGTGCCTTCCAGGGCGAGTTTTGGTTGGTTTGGTTCCAGGTGTGCCTTACCTGGGAGGGTGGCCAGAGACATTGTCTGGTCACAACTTTAGATGCCCCATGAGGAGGAGTGTATGCTGGTGCCAGGGATGGTGGCTGTTAGTCAAGGGACCTCAGGCCAATGTCCATCTGACCCCTAAGTCAAAATTCACATCCTACTGATTGAAGGCCTCTGTCCTGAGCCATTTGGTTGCAGGCGTTGGGATGGTTTCCAGGTCTGGAGGCTGCCGACTATGACCACACGTTGTGCTGTTGGGAAGCACGTGTGTGAGGGAGGCACATACACACAGACACACTCACTCTGACACACCTACACATGCCTACACATGCACAGGCGTGCACAGCCACAGGCAAACAGATGCACCCATGGGTGTGTGCTATTGTTCTGGTCACGTGGGCTTCCTAGGTGTCCACAGAGTGACGTGGGTCAGGTAGATTCATGAAGATGGAAGTCTGTCATGGAGCCCAAGGAGATGCCGGCGTGCAAGTTTCCCTGCAAGAAAGAATGGGATTGAAGTGGTGACCAGTGAACCTGGGCCCGTTTCTCAAGCATGCATTTGATTTCTTTACACTTCTCAGCAGCAGTTTGTCATGAGAGGTCTACCGCTTGCTGGCAAGGAAGATGGTCAATTCTTCTGACCAACAGAGGCTGCCTTGAGTCCTTGATTTGGTGTGGCCTGGCATCTATGGTGTACCCCATGCTGGTGAGTGGCTCAGGATGGTAAGCATTCCTCTGCCCTGTGTGCAGAGGTGTCTTTTGAATTTCTGGTACCTGCAAAGAACTGTTTCTCAGCAGGCTACTAATGGCATGGTGAGTTCCACTCCCAGAGTCAATGGTCTGTGCCCATTGTTCAGTGGTGTGGCTCTGGGTTCTCCAGGAGGCCGAAGGTGTCATCGGCTCACCCACTGCCCAGCCTGTGGTGTCAAACGTCCTGCCCCTTTGAATGTGCTTGGATCGATGATGAGTCCTCCAAAAAAACATTCCTTGGAAAAGCTGAACAAAATGAGTGAGAACTCATACCGTCGTTCTCATCGGATCTGAGGTCCAGCACATTGCCTCCCCCAGGGACTGTAGGAGCGAGGGACAGCTTCCACTGCTTCCCATAGGTTCCACCACCCAGGGCATTTACAGATGAAAGTCTCCTACCACATGCATGTTAGGACATTCCCTCTGTGTGACATAAATGGATGGGACAGTTGTGGGGGGATCAGCCCTTCTGTGATGTGGCAGCCGTGGAACCAAGGTGGAAATGTTTTGACCTAGGGGAATGTGTGGCTGGTGTTGGCCTGGTGAGCTCCCAGGAAGGGAGACTCAGACCTCGCAGCAGGTATCTTTGTGCAGAGGACTGGGTCACAGGTCCCCTGCCAAGGAGAGCATGAGGCCCAGGCCTCAGGTAGACCTTGGTCTTCATTTTCCATTAGCTGATGACAGGGGAGTTCCAAGGTGATGGAGGAGAGCGCAGAGCAATGGTTGTTGGCGCAGATGGCTAAAGCCTCTTCAGCCCCCTTCCACCGTCAGTCACAGGTGCCCTCTGGCATGGATTTCTTTGCATCCCTAGCCATGAGATGACCGTGGTGCAGTGACCAAGGCTTGGGCAGGACAGTACGCCAGAGAAAAGGTGATGGAGGGCTCATGTGGACGTGTGTGTCTTCAGCTGCATTGGGCTGTCACTTGGTGGTGATGGACTTTCCATGGATTTCTCTGGTGGATGACAGGTCAGCCAGGGCAGGTCTTTGAGGGCATGTCTCTGGGCAAATGAGTGTCAGGATGGTGTCTGTGGCCCTGGGTCACTTCTGGTCTTCTCAGCAGAGTAGTGGGCTCCACCGTTGTGCACATCATCCTGGAAATGGTCTGTTGGCCTGCATTGTCGGGCGGCCCCACCTGCTGCAGCTCATGTGAGCAAACGCTGCTCAGGATCCTCTTTCCTGCTTGGAAAGCAATTTCCATCCTGAAGGCATCCAGAAGGAATGTGCCGTAGCCTTGGCCCGGGATTCTCCAGTGGTTTCCAGTCGTGTGGGGCTGTCCATGGAGGTCTGTGTTCATTCCGGGCAATGCGTATACAGTCCCAGGGCATTGCCACAGAGATACTCTTGACTTGGGATGCCTCTGCATGTTGGTGATGTTCCAGTGTTGAATTCCACTATGCCCTAGGCATAGCATTTCAGCTCCCTTAACTGGTTTGAAGTCTCAGCATGGCCAGGACAGGGATGTCACACTAAAGGACACACCGTTGGCTTAGGAAAGCTGGAAAGGTTGGTGGTTCTGTGGCTTGCAGCTACTTAGCAGGAACGTGCATGTAGACTTCGTGGTGTTGAGACATCATTGATTTGTAGGCATTGTGGTGGGTAGTAGTGTGGTCAAGTTGGCTGTGTGATCAGATGTTGCCTCAGAGGTCAGTGCAGGGAAGCCCTGTAGATGTGTCTGATGCAAGAACAATGACAGGCGTTGTGTCCTGTCAACCTTGTCCTTAGGGAGTCAGGCAGAGATGTCCTGTTGGAAAAGCATCCTCAGGGTGTCCTGAGGGCATGGTGCGGACATGTGGACTGAGTGGAGGAGAGGAAGCCTGTGTCTTGAGGTTCTTTGGCTAGATTGGGAAGACCGCCGCCTCTGGCCTTGACACTGAGTTTCAAACTGATGTGCTGCACTTTGCAGTGGCACCCTCCAGCGCTGGTTGTGGTTGGTTTTCTGCCAGGTGCACCTCAACCTGAGAGGGCAGCCAGAGAGTGTCTGGTCATGACATCAGATGCCCCATGAGGAGGAATGTGTGCTCGTGCCAGGCTTGGTGGCTGTTAGTCAAGGGACTTTGGGCCTGTGTCCGCATGGTCGCGAGGTCAAAGTTCACATCCTACTGATGGAAGCCCTGGGTCTTGATCTTTGGGTTGCAGGGAGGTTCAGGTCTGGAAGCTGCAGACTATGACCGCCCCTTGTGGTGTTCGGAAACACATGTGCCTGAGGGAGACACATATACACACACACTCACTCTCTCACACACATACACACATAGACATGCACAGCCACAGGCAAATAGATTCAGCAGTGGGCACATGCTGTCCTTTGAGTCACACATGCTTCCTAGGTGTCCACAGAATGACATGCGTCAGGTATGTTCATGGTACTGAAGGTCAATCATGGTAATGAAGGTCAGTCAATGAAAAGTAGGTGTGTGAGTTGCCCTGTGAGCAAGAATGGCATTGAAGAGGTGACCAGTGGTCCTGGACCCGTTTTATAAGCATGCATGTGATATCTTTACACTTCTCAGGGGCAGTTGCCGTGGAAGGCCCGCAGCCTGCTGCAAGGAAGATGGTTGATGCTTACGAGCAACAAAGGCTCCACGGAGTCGTGAAGTCGGTGTGGCCTGGCATCCACGGTGCACCCCGTGCTGGTGGATGGCTCAGGACGGTAAGCATTCCTCTGTCCCGCGTGCTGAGTGAGGGTGTCTTTAGGATTTCTGAGACCCGCAAGGAGCAGTTCTTCAGGCCATTAAGGGCACGGCCAAGGCCTTTAAGGTCGTTGGCTCACCCACTGCCCAGCCTGTGGTGTCAAATGTCCTGCCTCTTCAAATGTGCTTGGATCGATGATGAGTCCCCCAAAAAAACATTCCTTGGAAAAGCTGAACAAAATGAGTGAGAACTCATACCGTCGTTCTCATCGGAACTGAGGTCCAGCACATTTGTCTCTGCCGGGGACTGTAGGAGCGAGGGACAACTTCCACTGATTTTCACAGGTTCCACCACCAAGGGCATCCACAGGCCAAAGTCTCCCATCACACAGAGGTTAGGAACATTCCCTCAGTGCGTTGTAGATGGGTGAGAGAGTCATGGGCGAATCGTCTGCTTTGTTATGGTGTGGCTGCTATGGAAGAGTGCAGAAATTGTGCAGGCCTCGGGGAGTGCTCAGCTGGCCTCAGCTTGGTGAGCTCCCAGGAACGGAGACCCAGATCTTGTGGCAGGCGTCACCGAACAGAGGACCAGGTCTTAGTTTTTTTTTGCCGAGGAGAGCATGAGGTGCATGCCTCAGGCAGATCTTTGTTTTGATTTCCAGTTACCTGAGGACGAGGGAGTTCCGGGGTGGTGGGGAAGAGCACAGAGCAATGGGTGTCCCAGCAGATGGCCAAAGCCTCTTTGGCTCTCCTTCCAGGGTTGGTCACAGGGCCTCCCCGGCAGGGATTTCTTTGCCTCCTGAGCTATGAGATGCTTGTGGTGTGATGGCAGAGGCCTGGGTGGGAAGGTATTCCAGAGAAAACATGGTAGAGGGCTCTCGTGGACGTGTGTGTCATCAGTGGTCTGGGATTGTCAATTGGTAGTGATGTGCTTTCCATGGATTTCTCTGGTGGATGACAGTTCAGCCAGCAGGGGTCTTTGAGGGCAGGTCACAGTGAGCATGAGGATCAGGCTGGCACCTGCAGCCCTGGGTCATTTCTAGTCTTCACAGCAGAGTAGTGGGTTCCACTCTTGTGCACATCTTCCTGGAAATAGTTTCTTGGCCCGCCATTGCTGGGTGGCCCCACCTGCTCCAGCTCGTGTGAACAAATAGTGCTCTGGATTATCTTTCCTGCTTTGAAAGCAGCTTCTATCCCAAAGACATCGAGAGGGAATGTCCCCTGGCCCTGGCTCTGGCCCGGGCCTCTGCCGTGGGCTGTAGTCACACTTGGGGCTGTTCATGGAGGTCTCTGTGTATTCCAGATTCCAGGCAATATATGTGCAATCCCAGGGGTGTTGCCACAGAGAATCATTTAACTTAGGATGCAACCATACCACTATATGATGGCGATATTCAAGTGTTGGATTCTGCTATGCCCTAGGGGTGACGAAGCGTTTCAGTTTCCATAGCCCGTTTGAAGTCACAGTGCAGCCAGGACTGCCATGCTACATTGAAAGGCTGTGCTTGGCTTAGCAAAATTGGAAAGAATTGGTGGTTTTGTAGCTTGTAGCTCACTTGGTAGCCAGGTGTATCTACACCTGGTGGTGGTGTCGAGGTGGTGTAGACTTGCAGGCATTGTTGTGGGTGGGAGTCTGGGTAGGAATGTGGTGGGTGGGAATGCAGTCAAGCTGGCTGCATGATGGAACGTTGCCTCTGAGGTCAGTGCAGGGAAGCCATGTGAGGTGACCAGTGCAAGCAAGGACAGTGTCAGGTGGTGTGTCCTGTCCACCTGGCCCTTGGGGCATCAGGCGTGGACGTCCTCTTGGAGAAGCAGCCGTTCTCTTCGGGCATCCTGAGGGCACAGTGTGGGTACGTGGACTGAGCGAAGTGGAGGAAGCCCATGTCTTGAAGTCGTTTGGCTAGGTTGGGAAAACTGTCTCTGACCTTGATGCTGTGTTGCAGTGCAACATTCTGGCCATTGGGAAGGTGCCTTCCAGCGCAGGTTTTGGTTGGTTTTCTGCCAGGTGTGCCTTACCTGGGAGTGCAGCAAGAGACAGTGTCTGGTCCCAACATCAGATGCCCTGTGAGGAGTAGCGTGTACTCACGCCAGGGGTGTGGTGGCTCTTACACAAGGGACCTCAGGCCTATTTCCACATGGCTTTGAGGTCAGAGTTCACATCCTACTGATTGAAGGCCTTGGTCTTGAGCCTTTGGTTTGTGGGGGATCAGGTCTGGAAGCTGCAGACTATAACCACCCATTGCAGTGTTGGGAGATACAAACACACGTGTATGTGTGCATAGCCACAGGGAAATACATGCAGCAATGGGCACATGAGGTCATTCCAGCCACACACACTTCCTATATGTCCAGAGTGACACAGGTAAGATACATTCATGGAGATGGAGGTCAATCGTCTAGGCCAAGGAGAAGCAGGCATGCAAGTGTCCCCACAGGTAAGGATAGGATTGAAGTGGTGACCAGTGGACATGGGCCCATTTCTCAAGCGTGCATTTGATTTCTTTACTCAGGTGCAGTTTTCATGGGAGGCATGGCATCTGCTGGAAGGAAGATAGTTGATTCTCCTGAGTAATGAAGGCCACGCAGAGTCCTGGTTTCGGTTATCCACAGTGCACCCTGTGCTGGTGGGTGGCTCAGGATGGTAAGCATTCCTCTGTCCCTCATGCTTAGTGAGGGTGTCTGGGATTTCCAAGATCCACAATGAGTGGTTTTTTGGTAGGCCGCTAATGGCATGGTGAGTTCCTCTCCTAGAGTGGATGGTCTGTACCTTTTGCTCAGTGTCACAGCTCTGGGTTCCCCAGGGTGCCTAAGGTCTTTAAGGTCATCGGCTCACCCACGACCCAGCCTGTGGTGTCAAACAGGCTCTTTGAATGTGCTTGGATCGATGATGAGTCCCCCATAAAAACATTCCTTGGAAAAGCTGAACAAAATGAGTGAGAACTCATACCGTCGTTCTCATCGGAACTGAGGTCCAGCACGTTGCCTCCACTTGGGCTTATTGTGGTTCACGCATAACTTTGTCATATTACATTATACTTCACCACCCAGGCATTGGTATTCAATTTTTGTGGTCATTTTGACCATAGTAAAATTCTTTATCATAAATATATTTGAGAGTCATACTTGGGTAGCCCATGAATTTTTTTAGCATTACTCTGTCAAGTTGGTTTCACCCTTAATGCTACATTTTGCATTTTTGTTTTGTGATTGATTTTTAGCCAGGTTCTGGTCACAAATATGTGAAGCCGTAGACTAGCGGATTTCATAAGTACCACAGGAGTCTAGATGACATGGCCTTCCTGACCTGTGAACCTGTCTTTCTGAAGCACACTCATTTCTTCTGCACCTTCCCAGTGTCATTGGCATGGAAGGAAGGCCCTTGTCCAAGAAAGATGGTCTTCGTCTTGTGTGATCTTTGAGATGCCATGAGGCCCCTGGATACACATGGTGTGGGCTCCTTTGGAGGCTTTTGGATTTCTCCTGAATGTAAGTGATTTCTTCTGAAAGCATTCTGATTTTTCTCACTTGCAGGAATGAAGACTGTGTGTAGATTGATGATGCTTCCATATATACATTTTTTTTGGAAAGGTGAACAAAATGAGCGAAAACTCAGTACCATCATCCTCATCAAACTGAGGTCCAGCACGCTTCTCCATCAGGGCCTAGGTTTAGGGGGCCAACATCTGTTTGTTGTCATGGTCTGCACCAGAGCTTAGGATGTAGTTGACTTTCAGTGAAGTTGAGTAGTTGAGTATTTTGTACTCCCCTGGCTGAGAGATATGTTTGCTGAAGGACTTCCCTGTGAGAAGGTGGGGTAGCATCCTGTCAGTGTGCAGGAGAAGGTAAACCTGCAGGTGCCAGAGGAGGGCAGTATCCAGTTGCCCACCTCTGCATGGCTGGGTCTGTCCTTGATTCATACCTCTTGGGTTCATCACCCCCCAGAAGAAGACAGTTTCTTCCACATGAGGAGACAGCACGGTGCCATTCCTGAGCACTTCTTCAGCTCTCTTTCATCTGCGGTCGGGGACATGGGACTTCCTATGGTGTTTGTGTAGCATCAAGGGGTGGCCATCTTAAAGCCAGTGGTGATGCTGATTTGCTCTCTGGAAAGGAGCCTGGAGAAGCTCTCCACAGTGAACTTGTACATCTATGAGAAGAATTCCAAATTCCATGGCCCAAGAAGGGTAGTGGCTGTGGGAAAGGGAGAGGCCTGTGCGTGCCTTTACCTGGCATCATTCCATGTGGGTCATGGAGTGATGACTGTGAGGCTCTTTCGGACATTGCAGGGTGCCCACCGTCCATTTCATGGTGTCCTCAGGATGGTTTGCTTGGGAGAGCCTGATGTCATTTGCCTCTGAACCACTCAGACATCTTGATGCATTGGGGGTTTATAAGAGTGTGTCCTTCCTTATGTCGTGGTGACTTCTACTCGGAAATGTGACCTGTCAAGGTCTCTTTACTTATATACCTCAGTGTCTTCTGATATTAGGGTGTTTTTAAATTCCTCCTAATTCTTCACAGCAGTCTTTGTGAAGTAGTTATTGTGTGGTAGGACAGGGCTACCATCCACAGGCCAATGATGGATAGGTTTTGGACTCTGATGTTATGTTCACAAGCAAGTGCCTTAAGATCTGGTTTTCTTAGCTGCAGCACCTTAGAAGTCGTGTAGGATTCAGAATGCCTGGTGCTTCTCTGGGTCCCTGAGCTGTACCTGTGTAGTGCACACACAGGTTGATTTGTGATTTTTACATGTGTCCGGATCAGAAGAGTGTGAAGGACCTCAGAGGTGACAATGCCTCAAGGCCAAAGAAAAGTTGACCTTTGCATAGGAAGAGGTTTCCCCTCCAAACTCTCCCCACTGAAGTATCACCATGGCCTTTGTCTTGTCTGATGGCCCAGAGAAGGGTTTTTGATTTGGAGTTGTTACGAGTGGTGTTGAGAGTGTTCTTCATGCTTAGTGTTCTCTAGTTGATGGTGCCTTCAAAACTCATGCCAGCCTCCTACCTTCATGTTTGGGCAAACCCATGCTTGTGTGCAGAAAGAGGGGGAGCCCATGAGAGGTAGATACAGATTACTCCACAGCAGGACAAATGACATGACCCTTGCCACCTATGCACCTCACTGCCTTTCTCAAGCACACATGTTTTGCTCCTGCACTTCTTAGGTGGCGTTGGTATGAAAGGAAGGCCAGTGACCACAAGGGACGATCTTGATCTTGGGAGATTTTTGGAGATGGTGAAGTGCCTGTAAACATGTGTGTCATGGTCTCCTTCCGGCTGGTGGACACCTCAGGACGGTAAGTATTGGTTTTTCAAAGGATCCTAATGTTTCATTTTTGCAGGTATGAGAACTGTGCATGGATCAGTGATGACTTCCACACATGCATTCCTTGGAAAGCTAAACAAAATGAGTGAAAACTTTATACCATCATCCTCTTCAAACTGAGGTCTAGCACACTGCTTCAACAGGGGCTAGAGACAGAGTTCCACCTCTCACTCATTGACATGGGTTGCACCAAAGGGTCTGTCCAGGCTTAGGATGGGGTTCTCTTTTGGCAAGGGGTAGCCCCAGGGGAGTGGGAGCTCCCATGGACAGGAGAGTCCTTGTGTGACGGATATCTCTTAGTGAGGCCAGGGTAGCACATACACAGTGTTCAGGACTAGGTGAATGTGCAGGTGGCACAAAGGACTTAGGCTCTGCACCCCTTAGTTTGTCCTTGAGTCTTAGTTTTTGGTTCTCTCATCATCAGGAGGAAGGCAGGTCCTTCTCATTGGGAAGAGAGGAAAAGACCACACTTTTGCCTCATTTTTATCCCTGTCTACATACATGGATTTGTGGTCACCTGGATGCTACACACCCAGGCCAGGGTGGCTCTGTTGTATCCTGTGTGTTATGAAGACATACAGTTGGCCTCCTGCCCTAAGCTGGGGCTGATAGGCAATGAGTCTCTGGCTTATCTCAAATCTGGTGTAGGTCAAAGGCTTCCTCGTTGGGGTGCAGATCCCCGAGGCTTTTGTGATCAACATTACAGGTGTGCACGGGTGTTTAAAGGGACACTTTACATCAGTTCTCTCTAGTGGGATTATGTACTCCATGGGCTCCCAGGATCTAGACGTGCATTCCCGTATCTGTGCATTTCTGCGTCCATAAACAGATGAAGCCAGAGACAGGCAGATTGCAGATTACTTCAGGGGGCCAGATGGCATGTCCCTCATGACCTCTGCACGTGTCTGCCTTTCTCAAGCATGCCCATGTTTCATCTGTACCTCCCAGGTGGTGTTGGCATGGAAGGAGGGCCTGTGTCTGCGAGGGATGATCATCCTCTCATGTGATCCTTGGAGATGCCAGGTAGCCCCTTGACACATGTGGCATGGACTCCTTCAGAGGCTTTTGGATCCTTCATGAATGTAAGCAAGTCCTTCCCAAAGCCCTGATTTTCCTCATTTGCAGAAACAAAAATTGTGCCTGGATCGATGATGACTTCCACATACATTCCTTGGAAAGCTGAACAAAATGAGTGAAAACTCTGTGCCGTCATCCTCGTCAAACTGAGGTCCAGCACACTGCTACACTGGAGGGCAGGGAGAGGGGGCCAACATCTGTTTGTTGACATGGCCTACACCCTGGCTTAGGATGTGGTCCTCTTTGGGCAAACGCGAGTGTCTGGGCTTTTCTGACTTCTGTAGCTAAGAGACAACTTGGTTGAAGGAATTTCCTCTAAGAGGAAGCTGCAGAACTTGAAGCTGCAGGTGGCACAGGAAGCAGTAGCCAATAGCCTCCCTGTGCATGGCTACATGTGTCCTTGATTCATACCCTTTTGATTCGTCACCTCCCCCCTCACACAGGAATACCATTGCTTTCCTGTGGGGAGAGAGCACATCATTCCTGGACACGTCTTTCACTTACTTTCGTCCTCAGTCGAGGACGTGGGCGTTCCCAAGGTATCTGGTTAGCATCAGGGGCAGGCAGCCATGAGGTGGGTGGTGAGCTGATTTGCTTTCTGCAGAGGAGCCCAGGGACAGTATCCATGTTAAACTCGTATGTCCATAGGAGGAAACCCAAGTCCTGTGGTCCCTGAAGTGTACTGGTGGTGGGAAGGGGAGAGGGCTGTGCATGCATGTACCAAACAGCATTCCATGCGGATGTGAAGCAATGACTGTGAGCTGCTTTTGGGAGTGGTAGGGTGCCGTGGTCCATTTCCTGATGACCTTGGGGTGTTGGGATGGGAATGAGATTTCAAGTCCGTGTGCTCCTGCCACTTCGCAGATTGACTTGGATTGAGAGGTCCGTGTTCAGGACCCCCTGTGGGATGCTTGTCTGTGTTAGCCATTTGAGCAGATTTCGGCCCAGGGTTTCTACCCTTCCAAGGTTGTACATGCTGCTGGAAGGGCTTGTTGCTCCCTCTCTATTGATGAGGGGAAGTTTTGCTCAGGAGAGCCTGATGCCATCTGCTTCTGAACTGCTCAGGCACTTCAATGCAGTTGAGGTTATAAGAGTGTGTCACTTCCCATGTCGTGGTAACATCTACTCAGAAAAGTGACCTGTCAAGGTCTCTGCACTTAAATTCTCCATTGTCTTGTGATGTTAGGTTATTTTCAAATTCCTCCTAATTCTTCACAACAGCCTTCTTTGCAAAATAGTCATCCAGTTGTGTGAGGGCTGTCATCCACAGGCCAGTGACAGAGAGCTTTTGCACTCGGTGGCCATGTTCACAGGCAAGTGGCTTAAGATGTATGGTGTTCTCAGGGAAGCCCTGTAGGATTCAGCATGTCTGATGCTTTTCCGGGTCTCTGAGCTGCACCTGTGAGGAAGGCCCAGAGGTGGAGGTTGATTAGTGATTGTGTTTCTCAATTCTAAGTGTGTGGAAGGAGCCCATGGTAAAAACGCTTCAAGGCTGAAGGAAAGTTGCTCTTTGTGCTGGAACACTTTTTCCCTGCAGCTCTCCCCATTGAAATATCCTCATGACCGTTGTCTTCTCTGATGGCCAAGAGAATGGCTTTTGAGTCAGGAGTGGTGAAAGTGTTGTCTTGAGAGAGTTCCTCACGCTTAGTGTTTTCTAGTTTGACTGTGCCCTTGAAATGCATGCCTGTCTTATACCTTCATGCCTGGATATATCCATGCACACATCCCCAAAGAGAGGTTGCCCATGGGAAGTAGATACAGAATGCAGCATAGCAGGATGAATGGCATGGCCCTTGCAAACTGTGTACCTGCCTGCCTTTCTCAAGCACACCTGTTTTTCCTCTGCACTTCCCAGGTGGCATGGGCATGCAAAGACAGACAGAGGCTGCAGGGATGAACTTCATCTTGGGGGATCTCTGGAGATGGCAGGGAACCCCTGGACACATGTGGCATGGGCTCCTTCGGGTGCCGGTGGATCCCTTTATATGGTAAGTGTTCATTTCTCAAAAGACCCTAATGTTCTTCCTTTACAGGAATGAATACTGCATGCGTCAATGACGACTTCCATACATGCATTCCTTGTATGGAAAGCTGAACAAAATGAGTGGGAACTCTATACTATCATCTTAGCTGAACTGAGGTCCGCCAGGGCTAGAGAGGGACAACTCTCATTTTTTTTTTATTCCTGATGCATGAAGTGTTTGTCCAGGCTTAGAAAGGGATTCTGTTTGGGCGAAGGAGAGTCACAGGGGAGTTGAGGTTATGTGTACTGGACTTCCGTCTACGAGGCTGGGGTAGCACACATGCAGTCTGTGGGACTAGGCAAATGTGCAGGTTGCTCAGGGAGAGTTAACCTATAGCCTGCCTCTGGGTGGCCAGGATTGTCCTTCACTCCTGGCTCTGGGTTCCCACAATCCCTGGAGGAAGACAAGTGATTATCTTTGGGAAGACAGAACAAGGACATACTTTTGCCTTTTTTTTTTTTAATTCTTGGTTTGAGAACGGTGGAGTTCCAGTCATTTGGCATAGCTTTCAGGCAGGCGTGCCCGTGTTGTGTCCCATTCATTGTGAGTACATGCATATGGCAGGAACACAGAGGTTCCTACTGTGAGCTGGGCCTGATAGGCAAGGAGTCTCTAGCTTAACCCCAGCTCAGTGTCGGTCAATGACTTCCTCGTGAAAATTGCATGGCCCCGTAGATTTAGTGAGTGACATTATAGGTGTCGACATAAGGATGTTGAGAGGGATGCTCAGTGTCACTGCTCTTTAGTGTGCTGATGCACTACAGGGGCACCTGAGCCCTTGTCCATGCATTTCTGTGTCCAAAATCAGGTAAAATCAGAGTTGGGTATCAACCAGATATACTGCAGGGGACCAGAAGACATGGCCTTTGTGTACTGTACATCTGTCAGATTTTCTCAAGCACACCCTTGTTTCCTCTTCACCTCCCAGGTGGCCGTGATGAATTGGCCAGGCCCATGTTGGTGAGGGACAATCATCATCTCGTGCCATTCTCAGAGATGCCAGGAAGCTCCTGGACACACATGGTGTAGGCTTCTTTGGAGGCTGTTGGATCCCTCCTGAATGTAAGCAGTTCCTTCCCAGTGCATCCTGATTTTCCTCATTTGCAGAAACAAAGATTGTGCATGGATCGATGATGACTTCCATATATACATTCCTTGGAAAGCTGAACAGATTGTGCATGGATCGGCTGATGACGAAGTATATACATTCCTTGGAAAGCTGAACAAAATGAGTGAAAACCCTATACCGTCATCCTCGTCGAACTGAGGTCCAGCACATTACTCTAACGGGTTAGACAGAGGGCCAACATTCATTCATTGACATGCTGGTTCATCAAGGGTCCCATCCAGGCTTAGGATGGGTTTCTTTGGGTGAATGGTGGACAAGCAGGAGTAGGAGCTCCCATGCACAAGACATTCATTGTTTGAAGGACTTCTGTGTCCCAGGGTGGATAACATACGCGCTGTATGTGAGGACTAGGTGGAATGCGGTGGCAGATTGCATGGGAAGAGTTAATCTGGTAGCCTGCTTCATGATAGGTGGCCAAGTTTGTCCTTGAGTTCAAGCTGTACTAAAGTCTCAGAGGAAGACAGATCCTTCTTGGTTGCAGGGAGTGTGTAAGGCTGGCACCTTTGCCATTTGTTGGCTCATTTTGTTCTTTATTGAGGATGTTGAGTTGTGTTTATCTTTGTGGGCATTACCTCTGTGCCCATTTGTATCCTGTGCATTGTGAGAATGCATTTGGTATTTAGAATGGTGTGGTGGCTCCTGTCCAAACTGGGGCTGATAGACAGTGAGGCTCTGTCATCCCAAACCAGATAGAGGTCAATGACTTTCTCTCTCTTTAGTGCAGGGCCTCTGATGATTTTGTGACTGGCATTGTCGGTGGGGTTGAAAGCAAGGATGTTGGGAGAAGGATGCTCAAACATCAGTGTCAGGCAGGATGATGCACTCCAAGGCCGCCATCCCCAAGACGAGCATACTCTGTGTCCATACATTCCTGGGTTCACATGAGAACAAGGGTGGGGAAGCCAGAGACAGGCGTGATTCCAGATAAACTACAGGGGGCAGATAGTGATGCACTTCGCATGGACAGGCACCTGTTCCTGCCTCCCTTGAAGCATGCTTCTTGGTCCTGTGCACTTTCGCAGTGGGGGTGATAAGGTAAAGGTAAACCTGTGCTGTCATGAGGGATGATCATCGTCTCAGTGGTCTCTTGAGATGGCAGGTGTGGCTTCTCCTGACATACACGGTGCTCACTCCTTTTCCAGAGGCTGTTGAATCCTCCTGATGCAAAGTGATTCATCTCCAAAGCACCCTGAGTGTCCTCATTTGCAGGGATGGAGATTGTGTGTGGATCGATGATGACTTCCATATACACATTCCTTGGAAAGCTGAACAAAATGAGTGAAAACTCTATACCGCCATCCTCGGGCCGACCGGGAGGTCCAGCACACTGCCCCATCAGGAAGTACACACAAAAGTCCCTCCATGAGAGGAATAACGCTCCTGCTTATTGACACAGGCTGCACCAAGGCTCTGGATGGGGTCTTTTTCTGGCAAAGGAGAGTAGCTGGGAATTTTGGATATTTGTAACTAAGAGACAGCTTGGTTGCAGGCAGTCAGGTGTGTCCGCGATTTGTACCCCTTGGGTCCTTTGACCTCCAGATAGAAGACTATATTGCTTCCAATGGTGGGGACAGCACAAGGTCATTCCTGGGAACCTCTCTCACTCACTTTCATCCTTGGCCAGGACATAGGACTTCCTATGGTGTTTGATAACATCGGGGCAGGCAGTCCTCAGGAGGATGGCGATGCTGATTTGCTTTCTGCAGAGGAGCCCAGAGAGGGTATCCAGGTTGAACTTGCATGTTCCTAGAGGAAACCTTAAACTGTGCATGACGGGGCGGGTCCTGGGTACTTATGGGTGAGGAGCTGCACATGCATTTCTACTGCACAGTCTTCTGTCAGTCGTGGAGAGATGACTGTGAGCCTCTTTTGGGTGTTGTAGGGTGCATATGGTTTATTTATGATGACCTTGGGATGCTGGGATGGCAGTGTAATTGTGAATCCACATGTTCCTCAACTCACAGACTGACTCTGGAGCCTCCATGTCAGGTTTGTGGTTCAGGCCTCTGTGGAATGCTTGTTCCGTTAAGAATTTGAGATGGGGCTGGGGTACCGGTGGCTCACGCTGTAACTTAGTACTTTGGGAGGCTAAGTGGTGGTGGTGGATCACTTGAGGTCAGGAGTTCAAGATCAGCCTGGCTAACATGGCGAAACCCCATTTCTATTAAAATAAAAAAATAAAAATTAGCTGGGCGTGGTGACGGGCGCCAAGTAATCCCAGCTACTCGGGAGGCTGAGGTAGAGAATTGCTTGAACTCCAGGGGGCAGGAGGTTGTGCAATGAGCCAAGAGCAGGCCAATGCTTCACTCCAGCCTGGGCAAAAAAGCGAAAACTCGTCTCAAAAAAAAAAAAAAAAATGAGGTGATATCAGCCAGGTCAACATGTTGTACATACTGTCAAGTGTAAAGGTTGTTTGCTCCCTGTTTCCTGTGTTGATTTGGGGATGGTTTTCCCCTGGGGGTGGAAAGGCTGATGTCGCTTTTTCCTTGAATCTGCTCATGCACTTCATGTGGTCTAGGTGCCTGGTGATATGTGTGAGCTCCCGTATCATGGTGACTTCACTGAAAAGCAACTAGCAAGGTCGCTGTGTTTAAACACCAGTGCCTCATGATGTTAGACTATTTTTAAATTCTTTCTAATTCTTCTTCACAACAGAATTTGTTTGTGAAATAATCATCATGTGGTAGGACAGGGCTATTGTTCACAGACCAGTGATGGATAGGTTTTGGACTCCACGGTCATGTTTGCATGCAAGTGCCTTAAGATGTATGCTGTTCTCAGCTGCAGCACCTTAGAAACCCTGTGGGATTCAGTGTGTCTGGTGTGCTTTCTGGGTCCTGGCTGCACCTAGAGAGACCCCGAGGTGGAGGTTGATTTGCATTGAACATGTTTCTCTGAACAAGTGTGTTTATTGACAGATCTCAGTAAAAATGCTCTCTACAGTGGAAAATTGCTCTCTCCTGCACAGGAAAAGAGTTTTTGTTCCCCAAATCCTCCCCATTCAGATATACCCAAGGGTCTGTGTCTTCTCCGATAGCAAAAAAAGGAAGGGCTTTGAGTCGGGCATCACATGAGTGGTGTCTGTGAGCTTCCACACTTAGTACTCTGTAACCTGATGGTGCCTCAAAATGTGTGACTCAGACTTTCCTGCCTGGTGCTCCTGCACACATCCCTCAAAATGGGTATCCCGTGGAAGTAGCGATAGGTAATCCCACAGGGGGTTGAATGGCATGCCTGTCTTCTCAAGCATCTGTTGGCTCTGTACTTCCTAGGTGGTGTGGGCATGGAATGGAAGGCCAGTGGAGACAATGGACGATCTCTGGTTTCAGAAGATCACTGAGGTGGCAGGAGTCCTGTGGACACGTGTAGGCCTCTTCAGGTGCTGGTAAGCATCTGTTCCCACAACCCCCTAATATTACTCCTTGTGACAGAACATGAAGACTGTGCATGGATCGATGATGACTTTCTATAGTTACTGCATTCCTTGGAAAGCTGAACAAAAATGAGGCAGAAAACCCTATACCGTCATCCTTCGCCGTAACTGAGGTCTGAGTGCAAGCATTGCTCTTACAGGGCTGGAGTGAGGGCTGTTTCATTTGGTGCTGCAGGTTGTACCCGCGTTGTTCAGTTGTAGAAGGCGCCTTCTTAAAAAGGGTTAGCTAAGCAGGGTTGTGGGATCTCCTTACAAAACAGGAAATTGTTTGAGGGACTTCTTTTTTGCTGCAAGGTAACGCACACGCTGTCTGCGGATCATGTGAATGTGGAGGGTAGCATGGGAAGACTTAGCCTGTAGGCCAGCCTTCTCTGGTGGCCATATTTGTCCCTTGAGTCTTAGCTCTCGGGTTCCACATCATTTCTTTGAGGAAACAGAGGTGTTTGTGTTGGGAAGAGAGCACAAGGCCACACCTTGCTGTTTTTTTTCCACTCATTTTCATCATTGTTCAAAAGGACACATTGCAGTTCTGGCAGATCCATAAACAGGGAAGCCAAAGACAGGCAGGCAGATACTAGATATACCGTGAGCCGGATGACACGGCCCTCATGACCTCTTGAATGTGTCTGTTTTTCTGAAGCACACTTTGTGTTTCCTCTGCACCTCCCAGGTGCTACCTATATGAAAGGAAAGGAGGCATTCGTGGGGGATAATCTTTTATGGCTACCCTAGCTGGTGCGATCCTCAGAGATGCCACTAGGGACTCTGACACATGTGTGTGGCCTCTTGGGAGGCTGTTGAATCCCTTCTGAATGTAAGTGTCCACTTTCTAAAGTCCCAATGTTGGATTTTCCTCATTTTCGGCATGAATAATGTGCATGGATCGACAGATGACCTCTTTTTTACATATACATTCCTTGGAAAGCTGAACAAAATGAGGAAACCTCTAGAGTACCGTCATCCCCGCTCGAATCCTGAGGTCCAGCACACACTGCTCATCAGGGCTGGGAGAGAGGGACAAACGCATCTCGCTTTGTTGACACGGGCTGCATCAATGCTTGGGATGGTCAGTCTTTGGGTGAAGTGGAGAAGCTGGGCATTTTGACTTCCTAGGCTGAGAGACGGCTTGGTTGAAGCACTTCCCTCTGTGTGGCTATGTGTGTCATCGATTCATACCCCTTGGCTCCTGCCTCTGAGGAAGACAGTGTGGCTTCCTGCATGAGACATAGCAGTGTTGTTCCCAGGCACTTCCTTCTGCCTACCTTATCCTAAGTCGGAGACGGGGAGTTCCCGCTTTTGTAAAGTCAGGGTACTGTCAAGGGCAGGCAGTCATGAGGAGGGTGGCGATGCTGATTTGCTTTCTGCAGAGGAGCCTCCAGATAGACATCCACATTGAACCTGCATGTCCAGGAGGAAACCCAAATCTCATGGCCCCAGAAGCATGCTGCTGGGTCGGGAAGGGGAGAGAGCTGTGTATGTGTGTACCGCACAGCCTTTCTGTCTGTCACAGAGCGATGATCGTGAGTCTCTTTCGGCATTGTAGGGTGCCCATGGTCCATTCTTCATGATGACCTCAGGTGCTGGG